GATTCATTCTTTTCTCCATCCATCATGATGTTGTCTATCGGTCCAGTGGTAATAATCTTTGCTTTCCTAACATTGGTTCAATCCATACCGAAGGCTGCATTTCTTGATCTTCTACAATTAAGTGCTTCAAGTGCTCTTCACTTTCAGCAAACAAGGTTGTGCCATTTGCATAACACAGGTGGTTGTTGAGCCTCCCTCTGATCTGGATGCCACATTCCTGTTTATAGAATCCAGCTTCGAGGATAATTTTTATCATTGCTGATGTGAGATGGATCATGGATGAAAAGAAAGAATACCAGAAGAATACCTATTTGTGCTTTATTGGCTAAACAAAAGCCTTTGATTGTGTGGATCATAACAAGTTGTGGCTGACATTGAGAAGAATGGGAATCCCAGAGCACTTAATTGTGCTCATGAGAAACCTATACCTGGACCAGGAGGCTATTGTGTGAACAGAGCAGGGAGAGCACTGTATGGTTTAAAACTGAAAAGGCAGTGAGTCAGGGCTGTATTTGCTCTGATTCAGGGGAGGGGCATTTTAAAATTTCATCTTTGTGCAGTAGCACATTTAAGAGGTTCTTGATGAGAATCTTGATGAGGTTTATGCAACGTAACATACCTTTGGATTTATTTTTTAAATTATTTTGTGATTTTAACAAAAGTTTACAGAAATATTAAGATTTTCATTCATTCATTGCTGACATTTTACCACCTCTTTTTCCTTTCCCGTTCCTTCAGTTTTCTTTTTCCCCCAATATTCATTCATTGTTGCACAAAGAGAGATACTGAATATTGGAGTGGATCAGATGAAGGAATGAACTATTTAAAAGGTATATATAATAAGGCATTGTATGTATGACAGCAGATGGACATTGCAAAGAGAACCCTTTGATTTCTTGACTGCTACTGCCCTGGGTGTTGACTATGGATGGAAAGAAAAAGAGATCATTGACCACTCCAACCTATTATCTGTTTATCATGGTTTTGTGTATCGGTCAAGTGGTGAAGATTTCTGTTTTCTTGATACTAAGGTGTAATCTACTCTGATGGCTGTAGTCTTGGATCATTTCCAGCAAGAGCTTGAAATCTTCTTCATTATATAGGCAATTTGTTTCAGTTGCATAAAGTAGGTTGTTTATGAATCTTTTCCCAATCCTGATGCCATATTCTTCTTCATGTATTCATTAGTTATTGGGAGAAATACAAGTAAAAACTACAATTAAATACCTTTTCTCACTCATCAAATAACTAACATGAAAAACATGAAAACAATAGCAAGTGTGAGGGTGTGAAGAAATTGGAATACTTGTATACCCTTAATTATATTTATTTATTTATTACTCATATGTTGTCAGTGGCATCATCTTACTTGCATCCACAATCAGTACACTTGGGACTAGCAGTCAGGAGATCAGGAGATGTATCGCACTGAGAAGTCTGCATTTAGGGACTTCTCCCAATTATTGAGGAGAAATGATACCAGTTTGAGGACTAAGGTGTGCCTGATTTATATCACGATCTTTTCAGGCACTTGCTATACTGCTGAGAGCTAGACAATGAATAAGGATGATAGAAGAAGGATACACTTAAACTGTGGTGTTGAAGAAGAACACTTAATATTCCACGGACTGCAAAAAAGAAGAAGTAGATATGTCTTAGAGAAGGTGCAGCGAGAGTACTCCTTGGGGCAAAGATGATAAAACTTCATCTCACATACTTTGGGTATATTGCTAAGATAGGGCATTCCTTGGATAAAGACATGAGTTTTGGAAAGATGGAGGGATGGCGAAAGAGAAGACCTCAGCCAGGTAGATGACACAGTGACTGCAGCAATGGGTTCGAGTGTGTCAGAGATTGTGAGGATGGTACAGGACCGGGTTCACATCTGTTGTTCACAAGATTGCTGTGAGACATACTTGACTCAATGGCACCTAATAACAAACACCAAGAACATTTACTATTAGTGAGGGTGTACAATGGTGCAGGAAGCGCTTGCTGTAGAAGGTCAAGGACTGTAGTCTTCATTATTAATTAAAGCTCAACATCAAAAAGACAAATATCCTCAGCACTGGGCCAATTGGCAGCACCGTGATAGATGGAGAAGAGACTGTTAACAGTTACAACTTGCTCGGTTCCACAATCAACATTTTTGGCCTCAGGTATCAGGAAAGAAAGATAAATTTTATTAGTTAAATCTGCTGCCAGGGACCTTTCCAGAGTGCTGAGAAGCAACACTGTTAGGCCAGAGGCTAAGGTGCGCCTGATCCAGCCCATACTTTTCACAATTACTTGCTATACATCAGAGAGCTGGACAATGGCTAAGGATGACAGAATTGATGCGTTTGAGTTGTGGTGCTGGAGAAGAGTCTTGAACATACGATGGACCACTAAGAAAACATATCTGTTTTGGAGAGGGTGAAGCCAAGTTTCTCCTTGAATGCTAGGATTTTGAAGCTCCATCACACAACTTTGGGCATGTGGCCAGAAGGGACCGATCCTTGGAGAAGGATATCATGCTCGGAAGGGTGGAAGGACAGCTCAGGAGAGGAAGACCCCAGATGTGATGGATTGATACAGTAACTAGAGCACTGGGGGTAGGTGTGTCAGAGTCAGTGAGACTGGCTGAGGACAGGGCAGGCTTCAGAGCCATAGGGTTGCTATGAGTCGCAGGTGACTTGATGGCACATAACAACAACAACTTTAGAAAAAAGTGACTCAAAATGAAAATTAATTGCTCTAAATGTTAGACAAAAGATTACCACTTATTCAGCAATTTTACTCCTTTAAAATATAAAAAATAAGAGCAAGAATATCTTCACAATAAAACATTTACAGAAATATTCATAGCAGCATTATAGTGAAAAGGTGGAAACAACCCAAATGCCCATTAATTGATGAATGGATAAACAAAGATCATGTATTCTCTGATTCATTTACATAAAATATCTAGAATAGATACATTCATAGAGAGATCAAATACTGAATGTCAAGGGCTAGTAGTGAGGGACAGAGGGTAATGACTAATGAGTAGGGAGTTTCTTCTTGAGATGATGAGAATACTCTAAGATCAGATGCTGGTTATAGTTGATAATTCTTTAAATATACTAAAAACCACTGAATCCTACACTTTAAAATGTGACTGTTATGTCATGTGAGTTATATCTCAACAAAGCTATGATAAAATATTATTATTATTACTACTACTACTAATATAATGTCCTTTGGGAAGTAAGACATTAATAGAATTTTAGATAAGAATATAACATAATGACTCAGGCTTTGCCTTTTTACAGATTATGCTGTTTATAGATCTTACACTTTTGTTGTTGTTGTTATGTTCCATTGAGTTGCGTGCGACTCATAGCGACCCTACGTATAACAGCCCTAAACCCTGCTCTGTCCTGTGCCAATCTGTCTCCAACATACCTACCCCAATTACTCCAGTCACTGAATCTATCCACCTCATAGAGTGTCTTCCTCTCCTGTGCTGTCCCTCCACCCTCTCAAGCATGACATCCTTCTCCAAGGACTTGAACCTGTTTGTAACATGTCTGAAGCATATCAGATGAAGCCTCAGAATCCTTGCCTCAAAGGAGCAGCCTGGTTTAACCCTCTCCAGGACGAACCTGTCCATTTTCTTAGCAGTGCAAGGTATATCCAATACTCTTCTCCAGCTCCAGAGCTTAAAGGCATCAACTCTCCTTCTGTCCTCCCTAGTCATTGTCCAACTCTCTGATGCATAACAAGTGATTGCAAAGACCATGGCCTGTATCAGATGCACCTTAGTCTACAGAGAGACACCATTGCTCGTCAGTACTTTGGAGAGGTTCTTAACAGCAGACTTTCCCATTGCAATATGTCTTTTAATTTTCTGGCTGCTGGTGCCAAGAGTGTTAACTGTGGAGCCGAGCATACTTACCATCTATCCTGATGCTGCCAATGATAAGAATCTTTGTCTTCTTGATATTGAGCCTCAATCCACATTGAAGGCTGCAATCCACATTGAAGGCTGCAGTCCTTGACCTTCTGCAGCAAGCACTTCAGGTCCTCCTCAGTTTCAGCAAGCAGGATTGTGTCATCTGCATAATGCAGATTGTTGATGAATCTGCCACCAATCCTGATGCCATACTTCTCCTCACACAGCCCAGCCTCCTGGATAATCTGTTCTGCATATAGGTTGAAAAGGTATGGAGATAGGACACATCCCTGGGGTACACCTTTCCCAATTTTGAACCATGCAGTGTTTCCTTGCTGTATTCTGACAACTGCCTCCAGGTCCAAGTATAGGTTTTGCATTTAGCATGATCAAGTGTTCTGGGATTCCCATTCTTCTCAGAGTCAGCCACAGTTTGTTGTGATCCACAGAGTCAAATGCCTTTGCATAACCGAAGAAACACAGATAGACATTCCTCTGGTACTCCCTGCTTTCAACCAAGATCCATCTAACATTAGCTACAATATCCCTAGTACCATGACCCCTTCTAAACCCAGCCTGGACTTCTGGCAGTTCTCTGTTGATGTGCTAAGTTGGTTTTGGATAATCTTCAGCAGAATCTTGCTTGCTTGTGATATCAATGATATTGTTTGATAATTTCCACACTCTGTTGGATCACTTTTCTTTGGAATGGGAACAAATATATATCTCTTCTAGTCAGTTGGCCAAGTGGTTGTCCTCTAGATTGCTTGGCACAACTTGGAGAGCACATCTAGGACATCAGATTATGCTGTTCATAGGACCCACCTTCTGTAGACCTTACACGTTTACCCATTCTAAATATATGAGACCTTAGAGTTAGTTATTTAAAACACAAATGTAGATAATTATATACTGTACCCAAGGACAGTTAAAACTTGCTGAATTATGGATATCAATTATATTACCCCATTTTAAAAGTCTTAAGACCTTAGGGTTCATTGATTGATGAGGCTGAATTTTCACGTATCTTCTACCCTCTGAGCCACACCTTGTGTTTAGATCTGTTAAGGTCTTCATTGCTCACCTGCCTTCGTCAGGTAGACCTTTCCACTTTTAGAAACAAAAGTAATATCAGAAGTATAAAAACTGTGATAAGACTTCACTATGACATCATCATATAAGTAAGCAATTATGTCGAAGGTGTTGCCGCCATCCAATGACATCCACACCTGAAGGAAAACCAGATAACACCTCACTGAAGAATTTTTGTGTGACAGTCCACAATTATCTACTAGCCTAATTTTCCTACGTCAAGAATGTCATGTAGCATGAAAACGTCATGTAGTCTTTCCACATCCGCATATTCATCTTATATATACACCCCCCCAACCCCTTCCAGGGTACAGGCTCCTAGTTCATTTTCTTTCTATTCTCATTTTAGAATCTACATAACAGATTCCAAGATGTAACGGAGCATCATTAGACCGCCAAGGGAGTCACTGTTTATGAGTTAAGTACCAATCATTTGCAGTATCTCCCAAATATCATTTTATTTATCATAAAAGGGTGGAGCGCTAAGTGAATCTGCTTTAGGGGAAAGGAGTTTACTCTCATACTGATATGAGACTTCATGTTCTAGGCGTCGAGGCCAGTTGTGTGTGTGTGTATCCTCTGATATTTGATACTGGCATATCGGGGCATTTTTTCATCTTGTTTTAGAAACTATTTCCCTGATTCTGGAATGGTATCAGTATATGTTTTTCTCAAAAAAGAGTTTATATTTAAATGTGGAACCTTTTAGGAGCTGGGCTTGAAAACCATTTCAATGTTTCCATGTGTATAATACCCACTTCTTCTCTTTCATTTTGGTCTGTTCACTTTTCTCCTCACACACGTGATGTCAATGTGGCCTCTATCAACATATCAGATAGATACATTTCCTTGTAGCTTTCTATCTCATTCTACTAGTCAGTTATTTTGGGGGAGAGTTGAGACATATGTGGGCAGGAATTGACTATTCTTTAGGTCTGCTCATAATTTTTTACATTTGAGTCTTAGTATAGTTTAGTATGCAAACAAATAATAAATACTTGCTTAGATTATACTTTCTGACTGCATATGTGTATATTTTTTATTGTTTTTGTTAACTTTCTGACTGCATGTGTATTTTTTTACTGTTTTTGTTAAATATTTTCTTTTTAAAAATTTAATATTGGCTTGCTTACAAAGTTCATATACATCGTGTTTCCTACTATGCCTCGTTCACATTGTGTCTCATACAATCACGTTTATAAAATTAATCATCATTGAATTATGCCCAGCATGACTTTGTCTTTCCAGATTCATGCCAGATCTTTCCCATTTCTTTACCAACCCCTTCCACCACCTACCAAATCATGTGACCCTATGATTTCTCCCCACCCCACCCTCACCCCTCTGTTTCCACCCTCCTCCCCTTTCATCCTCATACACATTTGAATGGTTATCTATTTCTACAATAAAGGTCTTATGAAGTATTTTTCCTTACTAGACTGAGTTAGTTCATTCAGCATAATGCTCTCCCGTCTTTCCCAAGTTGTATAATAATTTTTGAAATCTTTGTGTGTGAGTGCTGTATAGTATTCCATTGTGTGAATGTACCAGAATTTCTCAGCCCATTAAATTATGGTTGGACATTTGGGCTGCTTCCATGTTCTTGTGATGGTGAATAATGCTGCTATGAATGTTGGCCTACAAATCTCTATTTGTGTCTCAGTCCTAATTGTGGGGGGTTAGCAGTGGGATAGCTGGGTCGTATGAAATGTCAATGTTCAGCTTTTTGAGGAAACTTCATACTGCCTTCCAAGAGTGGTTGTACCATTTTACAATCCCACACAATCTGTGTAGATTGCAATAAATGTGATTGATGCCTAACAGTGAACATCGATCAATGGTGATTAATTTTATAAAACTGTATATAAATGATCATATGAAGCACAACATGAATGAAGGTGTGAAACACAGAGTATATGAATGAAGCACAATGTATATGAACTTTGTATGCAAATCAATGTAAAATTTAAAAAAAAGTAAAAATTAAAAAAAAAGTGATGTCTAAGAACAACAAGATTTTGTTGACTGTACTTTTTCCACATGGGTCACTGAACCTGAGTGTCTGGCTTTGGCTAAAGACCTCAGACATGACATCTGGTGCAGCAAAAGCTAGGTTCAAACTGACAGCCACTTTCCAGTCCTGGAACAAGTTGATTAACTTTAAGCCAAATATGAACTGGTTGTTGTTGTGTCCTGTCAAGTCAGAACTGACCCATCTGTGACCCTCCAAGTGGTTTCAGAGACAGTAAATCACATTGGAGGAGATTGCCCATCCTTCTGTGGAGTGGCTGGTGGCTTTGGGATTGCAGTGCAGCTTTTCCCATTAGGCCATCAGAGCTCCTTAAATACAAAATGTTGCTATCGTTGATTGCCATAGAGTTGAGCACGACTCACAGTGACCTTATGAACAAAAGGCCTGAAGCCTTCTGTAACTATCACCATTTATCAAAGTTCATAGAATTTCCAGAGGCATGTTGTTTAGGAAGTGGATGCCTCTCCAGCTTCTAAAATACGAAATAGGCATAAAAGGTGATCAATAACATTATGGCAGAATACCTGCTTTCACACAGGTTCAAAGGGAAGCATTTGTCAAAGAATAAAGATAAGAAGAGATAGGGAAGAAGGATAGATGGAAACAGGAAACATAATGGAAGAAGCAGGAAGAACACTGTTACAATGGGGGGTTGTAATCAAGGTCAGAGAACATATTGTGTACTAATTGTTGAGTGGAAAACAATATGCTCTGCAAGCTTTTACTCAAATCACAACACAAATTATGCCTTCAAATATGTGGTTGGTCATGTATGTTGTTAAGTGCCTTCGAGTCATAGGTGACTCATAGCGACCCTATGAATGGAAGTCCTCAACACTTGCGTGACTTCCATCCTCTCTCCAGGTTCATACGGTTTCTGGAGGCAAGCTATTTACGGAAGTAGATGCCACTCCTGCTTCCAAGCTTGTTTTAATCAGGGAGCTCCACCAGACACTGTCCGCCATGGGTAACCGTTATTGCATTTGACACATCATTGTCACAGTGTTCAGCTTCACAGCAGCCACAAGTTACCTCTGTATGGCCAGTTGACACACCAGGGCTAAATGAAATGTTATGTGTTGTTGAGTCAACTATGACTCATTGCAACCCTATTCACAGTATCTCTGAGCCCTGCTCTCTCCTAGCCAATCTCACTGTCTCTGACACACTTACCCTCATTATCCCAGTTATTGTGTCAAACATCTCATCTGGGTTCTTCCATTCCTGTGCTGTTCCTTAACCCTTCCAAGCATGATGTCCTTCTCCTAAGACTGATTCCTCCTAGCTACATGCTCAAAGTATGTGAGATGGAATCTCAAAATCCTAGCCTCTAAGGAGCAGCTTGGTTTCACCCTCTCTAGGACAGACCTATTAGTTCTCTCGGCAGTCCATGGTAAGTATACCTACTACTCTTCTCCAGCACCACAATTCAAAGACATCAACTATTCTTCTGTCATTCTTAGTCATTGTCCAGCTCTCTGACGCATAGCAAGTAATTGTGAAGATCATGGCCTGGATCAGGCGTATCTTAGTCTCTAGACTGAAATCCCTGCTCTTCAGCACTCCAAAGAGTTCTCTGACAGCAGATTTTCCCAGTGCAACTTGTCTTTAGTTTTCCTGACTTCTGACACCAAATGTGTTGACTGTGGAACTGAACAAGCTTAAATTCTGAACAACCTCAATCTCCTCTCTGTCTATCATGATGCTGCCAATTGGCCTAGTAGTGAGAATCTTTGTTTTCTAGATGTTGAGCTTTAACCCTATAGTTTGCAAACTATAGTCTTTTACCCTCTGCAGCAAATTCTTCAGGCCCTACTCAGTTTCAGCAAGTAAGATTGTGTCATCATCATAATGCAGGTTGTTGATGACTCTTCCTCGAATCCTGGTGCCACATTCTTCCTCATAAAGTCCAGCCTCTAGAGTAATCTGTTCTGCATACAGACTGAAAAGGTATGGAGACAAGATGCATCTTTGACATACTCCTTTCCTGATTTTGACCCATGCAGTGTTTCCCTGCTCTGTTCTCAGGACTGCCTCCTGGTTCAAGTATAGCTTTTGCATGAGTACAATCAAGTGTTCAGAGATTCCCAGTTTTTGCAAGGCTAGGCACCATTTGTTGTGACTCACACAGTCAAATGCTTTTGCAGAGACAATGTAGCACAGATAGTCATATCGCTGGTATTCTCTGCTTTTGGCCAAGATCCATTTGACATTGGCAATGATGTCTCTAGTGATAAGGCTTCTTCTTATTTTGTTTTGTTTTGGTTTTTTTTTTGTTCTTTTTTTTGCTGGGTTTTTTTTTGTAATTATTATTAAATTTTATTAGTTTCAATAAACATTTACAGAGATTTCGGGTTCTCATTCATTCATTGTTGCACTGTTTTCTCTACCCTCCTCCCCAGTTCATTCATCTTCCCTCCCCCCCTGAATGTCTGTTTTAATTGTCCAATTACAAGGCTTCTTCTTAAACCATCTATTTCTGGTAGCTCTCTTTCAATGTACTACTGTTCCAGTCACTTTTGGGTAATTTTCAGCAGGATTTTGCTTGCATGTGATATTAGTGATATCATTTGAAAATTTCCACACTGTGTTGGATCATATTTTTTTTGGAATGGGAATAAGCATGGCTCTCTTCCAGTCAGTTGGTTGCCCTCCAGATTTCTTGGCACAGACTGGTGAGCACTTCCCAGGCTGCATCTGTTTGTTGAAATATGTCAATTGGCATCCCATCAATTGCTGATTTTTTCCAATTCCTCCAGAGCACCTTGGACTTCCTCCTTTATCATCATTGTCTCCTGGATAGAAATTGTTTCAGGAAATACTTCTGTATTGGCCATTTCTGTTTGGTACAGTGACTCTGTGTACTCCTTCCATCTTCTTTTGATGCTTTCTGGATCATTCAATATTCTGCCCATTGCATCCTTAAGTATTGCAACTTGAGGCTTGAATTTGTTCTTCAGTTCCTTCACCTCAAGAAATGCTGTACATGTTCGACCCTTTTGATTTTCCAACCCTACCTCTTTGCACATTTCATCATAACTTTGCTTGTCTTCTCAGCTGCCCCTTGAAATATTTTGTTCAGTTTTTAAGTTTCTGAGTTCAATATTCAGAGTCTCTTCCAACATTCATCTCATTCTTCTCTTCCTCCCTTGTTTTGTAATGACCTTCTTTTTATCCTGCTTCATGGAGAATATTCTTGATATCCTCCCAAAGCTCATCTGACCTTTACTCATTTGTGTTCAAGGCCTCAAATCTGTTTCTGAGATGGCTTTTTATTTCAGGTGGGATAGACTCAGAGGCAAATTTTGGTTCTTACGGAATTGATTTACTTTTCTTTAGCTTCAGTTTGAACTTGCATATAAGTAGTTGACGGTCTGCTCCACAATCAGCACCTGGCCTAGTTTTCACAGCTGACACTGAGCTGTTCCAATGATTCTTCCCACAATGATTTTTTTCTTTCTTGTACCGTCCACTTATAATTTTATGATCAAAGTTATACTTTCTTCATAAAATAAGATGGGGAGAATGTAGTCTTTTTATATTTGCTGCAAACATTTGTATAAAATTATCTACTTTTGTAAAATTGGTAGAATTAATTTATAAAACCATGAAAGTCTTATTAAGGGTTTTTAAGTGCACCTTCAATATTTTTAACAGCTTACAGAAATTACTGAAGGATATCATTAGTTTTACACAAGTAAACTTTTCTGAAGATAATAGTAGTGATACACTGCCAGAAATTCACACGGGATTCAGAAGTGGATGTAGAGTGAGAGATAATGTTGACATCAGATGCATCTTGACTGAAGTAGAAAATAACAGGCAATATATTCAAAGACATTTGAATGGATCATAAAAAAAATATGGTTAACATTGTAAAGAATGGGAATTCCAGAAGACTCGATTGTGCTTATGCGGAATTTGTAGATATGCCAATGACCAATTGTTTGACCAGAGCAAGAGGATACTTCATGATTTAAAATCAAGAGAGGGACAAACTACTATGAATAGTGTCCCAGCCACACTTGAGAACAACCTTAATCATCCCAAAAGGAGTTTGGAACACTTAACTTATTAATGTTTAAAGTTCAGCTCTGTAACATGTGAGAAATAACACTGAGAAAGGGAGTTGAGAGCCTTCTTTGGAAGTCATCGCACTGCCTTTCCTTGTTCCTACAGGAGACTTTCTACTTGATGTTCCTTATTTTTAAACTGTTAGATGATATCATAGCTTTACAGTGGTTTTGTTCAGGCTGTCAACACAGAACTGACCAAATGTAAATCCAGAAAAGTGACTAATATTACTGCTGTTTTATGTACCATTGAGTCAGAATCAACTCACAGCTCACACTCCAGCCAGTTTTCAGAGGTAAACTGCATGGAGGGGGGTTGTCTACCTTTCTGTCATGAAGCGGCTGTTGGATTCAACCTGTGAGCCTTTGGGTTGCCAGCACAGTTCTTTACCACTAAGCCACCACCACAATGTTAATGTTACTAGACACAGTTTAATGGACAACAGAGCTAGGAAACCAAGCCCAACAATGCCAAATAGAAAAAGGCAAGATTAAGTGCTGACAAGATCACTTATGAGTTTTACTGCCATAGTCTGAAGCACTCAGAGTTGGAAAGAAATTTGGTCAAATTGGCAGAATTCAAGACAACTGTGAGGTCTCATATCTCATCTGTATCAGGTAGTGAACTAAGGAAGTTTAACACAAAGTAAAGAAGAAATATTCTTTTTCTTTCCTCTCATATCCATCAGTTGGATAATCCAAAAGACTGTGTTCTTTAATTTATGTATAGCCATTCAGAAAGTGAATTATTTAAACCTATAGGAGAAGCATTGTGAGTAGATCATTGTATTTTAGGGAGCTCTGGTGGCTTAGTGGTAAGGAACTATGCTGGCAACACAGAGGTACATGGTCTGAATCCACCCGCTG